CGACTAGAAACACTTATGGACTTTTTTTGATATTTTTCAAATTTCTCGCCTAAATTAAGCAGATTAGTGATTTTAATTAGTTTTTTCAGCGGATTTCCATCGAAAATTCCGCCGGTAATTTTATTACATAATATTTTTTTTCTTATTTAAAAACGGAATTGTTTTTTAAATTAAATTACTGATGGACATTCCGTCAGAAATCCACCGCTAATTTAATTATTTTATTATTTATTTTCAGTTAATTTTTTTTAAAACAAAAACTACTGACAGATAATACGTCTCAAATCCACCAGAAAATTAGTAGTTCTAGAAAAAATATTTAGAAATTTTGTTGATTGATTTCAAAATATTAAATCCTATAAATTAAAAAAACTGCAAAAAAATGTTAAAATATATTAATGTCTAATATGATTATCCAAACGAAATAAATATAAATACAAATTGTTCAACAAAATTAAAGTACTATAGTTCGGTGACAAGAGTTCACAAATACAACCAATACATGAAACCTATTGTGGCGGGGTCGGCGGAAACTACTGACATTATGCAAATCTCTTCATCATATCCATCTTATCTGCATGCACTTTCTTCCGAGTCTATCTTCCCTCATTAGAACTTCCTCTCGACGGAGAATTTCATGTTGCCTCTGCCGGATATCCTCTCGAGTGTGCAATTCTTGAACTTGGGACTGTAATTCGTTAATTACCTACAAATATAATAAAATGTTCGAATCTTTAATAAGAAGTATAAATGAAATAGATAAACATCAAAGAAAAAATAGGTACACACTCGACCATCTATAGAAAACGATTCACCACTCGGGTTTTCCTGTGAGGATGTCCCGGTCAAGACCCAATTGGAATCTTGCACCTGAACCCAAATAAACGGCCTCTTTTGTGTCCCCCGATCGCCTCATTCCACAATCGGTATCAACTAGAGGATTGGTCAAAGGATCCTCGTCGTACTTTTCGATGAGATTGGTTGAATAGGTACCATGTGGTTTAAAAAATACTACAAGTCAATTTCGATAGCATAACGGTTGTAAATGAAATGTTTCTAACTAAAACAGTTCTAATATTTGTCCAACAAATGACAACCAGAACTCTGTATGTATGTGTATATATATATATATATATATATAGGGTTGGGGGGTCATTCAAGGGAGAACTGATTAGTTTGTGGTAATTCTGAGATCCAATCTCAACCACAAATCAACGGATAAATTAGGAAATTAATAATTATGGTAGTTTGAGTTAAAATTATAATTAAAGGACATTTTAGGTATTTTTAAAAAAAATCCTCTCTCCTTTCTTCTCTCTCATCTATCATCTCTCCGACCTCCAATCTCCGGCCTCCGGTGAACAAAAATCCGGCAGGTACCAAGTAATCACAAAGATACACAATGTGATACCCATTATGATATACTGTGATACCATCTGGGTACCACTGTATATCACAATGGGTATCAACAGCAGTTTAAAACTCACATTGACAACACAAATTCTTCAAATTAAAACACACAGCAATTCAACTGCACACAGATTCTTCTTCAAGAACACTTTTACCGCCTCAAGCTCTTTTCTCTCTCAGAAATATTTCTTTTTCCAAAAACAGAAAGATCAGATAAGGTTTTTACCTTATCTCTTTCTTTTTATACCACTTAGTTAAGGCGGTGGGGTTATTTTATGATTATAACCCTTTGGGCGGTAGAAGATAATATTTTAAAATCATTCTTACTTCATTATGAAGATATCGCATTTTCATATTTTAAAATATTTAAATTCTCATGCATGCTTCATACCTCATACATGCACATATAAATCATGTATGCATCATATCATCTTTTCATATGCATGCACAATATTATATTCACATATATGGTTTATGCATTTCTAAATCAGATATGCATATTTCACGTAATCCATATAGTAATCACGTATAAATTACCTCAATCCAGGTTGTCAGAAACCCGGTTATAACAGTTTATAAAGTAAACCTCTTATATATATATATATATATATATATATATATATATATATATATATA